AATAGGGACAGATCCGCTTTTGTATCCTATAACTAAAACTCAAGAACATTCAAGGATTAACGGCTTGGGGGTTCCCCTTGAGCGCATCGCGCTGTGCCTCCTTAAAATTTGAGCTGGTTCAGTTTCAAGGCATCACGAGGTTGGTGGACAAAGCAGGTACCGAAAGAAACGAAAGAATGAAAACAATGCAAAAAAAAAGAAAACAATAACAAACAAAGGTTGGAATTGAAAGCAGAACAGACCTGGAAGGATTGGAACCTTCAGGGAAAGTGCTTCAAGTCTGCAAGACTTTGAAAGACTTCGCCACACACATAGGGCAACAGGTCCTTGCATCGCACTTGAAGTATTTCTTGTCTTTATTGCAAGAGCATAGAATGCGCAACTCTGTGATCAGTGTGTGAAACCCAGGGTTGCCGACCTAGGGAAACACTCGCTGGGCTATTGGAACATCCCCTCTGACCTTCTCACACGGATGTCCCTGAGGTCGCAACGACCATTTCCAATACTCCACCAAGATCTCGAGCGAAGCCAAACTTTGGGATGACTCTTGTCTGAACCTCGAATCTTCTGGGATGGCTGGGTGGTGCAATCAGGGCAATCCACTGAATTTTCATGATGAATTGAATGATCGTAATAAGGCTTCTGACTCATGCTCAATTAAACATATGGTTCTTGTACTTCGCTTATCCTACCAGTAGTACCGCACAAGGCGGTGGCGGAAGTTTCAAAAATAGGAAACCTATAGGAAAGGTTGGTTGTTGTGAATCCGGAATGGCAGAGCGAAGCCACTGATGGATCGAAAGGTGATTGATGTCTCCTCTCTTTCTCTCTCTTTCTCTGACTATCCACCTACCTACCTACCTACCTACCTACCTATCTATCTATCTATCGATCTATCTATCTGTCCATCTATCCATCCATCCATCCATCCATCCATCCATCCATCCATCCTATCTATCTATCTATCTATCTACTTATCTATCTATCTCTCGGTCTGTCTGTCTGTCTATCTATCTACCTGTGTATCTGCAAACTTGAAAACCGAACTATTCTGCGAGACTTCTTCATTTTTCAAAGTTGACGACATCAAAAACGCAGCAATTCTGCGTGACTTCCTCATTTTTCAAAGTTGACAACATCAAAAACGAAGCAATTCTGTGAGACTTCTTCATTTTTCAATGTTGATGACATCCAAAACGAAGCAATTCTGCGAGACTTCCTCAATTTTTGAACTTGAGAACATCCAAAACGAAGCAATTCTGCGAGACTTCTTTAATTTTTAAACTTGACAACATCAAAAACGAAGCAAGTCTGCGAGACTTCCTTCAAAAATGGAAAGTTGAGTGCAGCGCTGACGGCCTCGTACCAATGCGTTGTGCGATTTTTCCACTCCACCTGTCGAAAGTACTGCGCCTGCCACGAAAAATAGATGCCAGGTCATACGAAGTGCTGCACCTGTCACGCAAAATCATCTTAGGAAATCGACATATCTGATGCTCCAAAATGCAACCCCTCTCAGGAAATCAGCGCCCTGACCTCCTAACATCTCTGATGAACATGTCTTTTGTACTGCACCTGCCAGGCGAAATGCATCTTTGCAGATCCTCTCCAAATGTCCCACGCATGCCATCGTTTTTGGAAATGCTACAAAACCCTCACGTTTTGCTCACTTTTGACACGGTGCACAATCCCTTGCGCCTGCCACGCGAATCGACATCTGAACGTCCAAAAGTGCTCCGTACCCCTCAGTTTTTTGCACTTTTGACTTCTAAATGTGCTTCGCACCACAACGGCGTGCACTTTTTCGACATCTCAACTTCTAAAAGTGGTCCGAAGCTGGTGTGCTTTGTGCATTTTCACTTCGAAATGTGCTTCGCGCCACAACGGCGTGCACTTTTTCGACATCTCAAGTGCCAAAAGTGGTCCGCACCCCTAGTGTGTTTAACATTTTGACTTGGAAATGTGCTTCGCGCCACAACGGCGTGCAAATTTTCATCTCTCCTCTGGCCAGCTGGCTCCGCACCCGCCGCTTTAGCGAACCTACTTTTCGACCCTCCGGAGCCACAAATCATTGGAAAAACACAGTGAATTGCGACATTCCTACCTTTTCGCGCAATTCCATCTTCTTTCTTCTGACTCTTTCTCTATCTTTCTCTTCTCTGATCTTCTCTCTTCTGATCTTTCTCTTCTCTCTGCCTCTGCCCTGCTCTGCTTTTCATCCGTCCATATCCTTCGATTATCTGTATATGATTGTATAATACTGGCAAATATTGAAAAAAAGGGTCAAGATGGATAGAACAATGACATTTGCAGTATGTATACATTTATGATCGTTTATGTATGCTTTCCCATTATGAGAATGGGATACCCACAATATCTCTGTTGCGGCAATCCCAGGCGCCGAGAGGATCAGTTTGCGTCTCTCCACGTAGAAGGCGGCAGCATTGTGGAAGGTCTCCTGGGCGGTCAACAGATATGAATATCTGAATATCTGTTTAAAATACATGTATATATGGTATTCTATGGTCATATGTATATATATAATATATACCATTATATATCAAATCATCCTACATATATATATATTGTAATATATTGTAGATATAGAATCCATGTATGGGTATATGCATGTTCCTAATCAACAAATATTCGGATTCTTGCGGATTTCACTAGCAAGACGGGAGGAATGAATGACTTAATGATCTTTTACCATTGGGAGTGCAAACATCACGGTGATTTTCCATGCTCTTAAAGAGGTCCATCCCCAACGTCAATTCACTGACGGCAGATGTCCTGCAGGTCCTTCAACTGCTGTTGGAATGCATCCGATTTGAACCTTAGCATGGGCCAGCATGGGTAGAAAGCTGTGAACATATCTGGCTGCAGCGCCCGTGGAAGCATTGAAAAAAACACTTGAGTTCACGCTTGACCTTGGCTCAAAGCATCAGCAACTGGGGAGACTTCCTCCAGAAAAGACCAGCGGTCTACGTCTGTTTTCATCATCTTTCAAGATTGATTCAAACTATTCCCAAACCCACCAAGCGCCAATGCCAAACAAAAAATCAGGCTCCGCTGTCCGACTGAGGGATGCGGTGCCCATGGTGCCCCAGGCTTGAGCCGTCCACTCTTCCAGCAGCTCAAGTTGAAGCTGAATGGCTTGCTCCCTCACAATTCCAGTGGTTCCAGGGATGAAAAAATTGTGTGAAGGTGGCATGGTGGTTAAAACAGTTCAAACCAACCCATGCCCCGCCTGGTCAGATTGGAACCCTTCAGAGTTGAGTCCTGGAAGCCATGGATGCGGATTCCCACAAACGCCAAGCTCCCTGGAGATACAAAGTCCATCAAAGTCCAGGCTCCAGGGTTCAGGTCAAAGTGATGGCTCTAAATGCAGTCTAAATGTCCTTTTCCATCTTGCTCGGCAACTCCACACCTGGACCACAAGCAGCTGGTTGGCCATGGCATGGATATGATATCCTGATAAATGGCAAAAATCTGTAGTGCTTCCAGTTCTGTCTATTTTGGGACACCACTGACCCTCATTTGCCAATGGATTTGAAAATGGCGGGAGTGACCCTCCATTCTTTGCCATCAACCAAAGGACATCCTTTCATACCGGGTCGAAATGTCAGACGCATCAACTAATTGACTAATATAGCATCCATAGCCATGTTCCAACCATGAATCAGCTGCTTGATGTAAATTGACTCTCAAGAATCCATACTTCATGGTGTTTAGACCATCGCTCTCTGCCAAGTCCCAAATATTTCGCCCTAAATTTAGGCCATCTTTAGGCATGGATTCTCCCTCAAAACCGCCATCAGTTTGAGGGATGTCCCAACCCTTTGCCCAGGCGGACCTAGGAACAGAAGCCGCCGACGCTTGCCAAGTTTCTCGCTCGCCTGCCATTCCAGCCATTGGCGAGCCACCAACACAAAAAAAGAATCTTGGCCAACTCGGGGGCGGGAGTCAAAGCCATGTTCATGATTTTGAGGATGAGTTATTTCCAAGAGTTGTCCCGTTTTTTGAAGGGAAAAGTGACGTGATTGTGCGGAGAATCCGATGGAAAGCAGTCTTGATCCATTTGAAAGGCTTGCTGACCATACAAATATGTATATATTTATATTTATTTATGATAGCATAATATACAGTAGATATACTTATAGATATCCTCAGGAAGTTTTTGTTGGTCGCCACCTTGTGCACCTCTCTCGGCGGGCGTTTACCCCACCTGAAAGGATGTGAAGGCTCCGCCACGTCGAGCTTCCACCTGTGGAAATCAAAGCTACTTTCTCGCTTTACCCGTGATACAGTACCCTCCTCCATGCAGAAGAAAGATAAAATTATGATAGAATCTTCGGTGGTACATCATGTTTCTCCGTTTGTGGCTAAAATGAATCGGTTCACTAACCAGTCACCAATGCCGTTTACCCAGAAACAGTGCCATGATTCCAATCCTAACAAGTCTCGAAGGTATTCAGTATCGGTCACTGCCGAGTTCCAAGCGAACCGGCCGTGCTTCTTGATATCGTCGTCTCCGACCTTGATCTCTGACCGGTCGTCGCGACCACCGATCTTGTATCGGTGAGAGCTTTGCAGGGCCATGTAAAGATTACGGAAAAAACTGAGACAGTTGCACAAAGTCAAGGCTTTTTGGTCAAAGCAACTTGAGCGATCTATTCCCAAGTTTACTAAGGTCTGGGAATTCTGCAAATTCCCAGGATCTCCTGAGGTGTTGACTCAGAAGTGACTTGACATCTCTGTAGATGTTCTCCATTGGTGAAACTTCGCAAAAATGGGTTCTCTGAAAGCAGGGTACCCCATTCCATCCATTGTTCAATCATAATTTTCCCCATTCTTTAATGGTTATTTTGGGGTATGGGTACACCCCGTTTTCAGACGCATCCAAATCAACCTAGCGTCCTTCGTGTACTCTTTGTCGTGCGGGAAATACGGCTAGTCGCCGTGCGCACTAAAAAAAACATGTCGTATTGTGAGGACAAAAAGGCAGAGCACGAATCTGCTTGGACCCACGCGGCTCATATTTCTATAACGGTCACAATAGGTATATCATAACCGACAATCACAATTTCAAAAAAGGTGCTCCTGTCTTCACCAACTGATGAGCTGCTGGGGAGTTCTGTCCAATCCTCGCGACTGCCACGTATGGTACGACACCTCCGGGGTCGCAACATTCGCAAAAAAAACTCAGTCACCTTCGGCCTAGGGACCAAAGCTACAGAGATCCAAAGGCTGGGATGTCGACATTTGAAGAAATGCATCACTGGAGTAGCTAACATTTGGAACCCCAACAAAATGGGGAACGTGATGAGATCGAGACCAGCCAAACAAATAATTGAAAGTGGTGTTTGGAAACATGCTGAAATTCGGGAAACAACCTTTTGCAAGTCAAGTTGGTGGTATTTTTCTACCCACATTCGAGATATGAAAGCGATTTGGGATCATAACAACCAGTCATTGTTGATGATATCCCCACTTTTGCAGTCATATCATGTTATAGTATATCATATCCCCATTGAGGTGCGTTGTTACCCCTTGTGTGTCTATAGACACGCGTATATGCAGTATTAAGGTATATGTATAGACGATGTGTATATTTGTATATATATAATTATATATATATATATGTATCTTGACTGCACACTTCATTTTCTGAGCACAGCAAGACCTCGTCTGAAAAAACGCAAGACGAACGTGATTGACACCTTAATCACCAGCAGAAGGACCAGCCAAAATGTTAGTCAGTATATACATATACAATATATATATAGATATATATATATATGTGTGTGTGGGTGTGTGGGTCTTCACCCCCGGGGTGGAGTACCATATATAAATATGTATATACATATATACATATATACATATATACATATATACATATATACATATATACATATATACATATATACATATATACATATTTACATATATATATATATACATATATACATATATACATATATACATATACACATATATACATATATACATATATACATATATATATATACATGTATAAATATATACATATATACATATTTACATATATACATATATACATATATAAAAATATACATATATACAAATATATACATATATACAAATATACATATATATATATATATATATATATATATGTGCAGTGTGTATGTATATGTTTGTGGGTCTATGTATGGGTATGCGTGTGCGTAGGCATATGTGTATGCGCATGTGTTGAGGCGGCATGGTCTACATTGTTATGTGGCGCTGTTTGATGGATCTCAGCTCAGTCTCCCAAAAAAGAAGATTTGTCGAAAATTACTCTTCACTTCACTTCGGTAGATTTGCATCACAGTTCATGTCTCAATGTCCATTATTCCCCACATCTTTGTGTGGGGTTCTTGTTTTTGGTTGTGCATTCCCGCCTGCCTCCTCCTTCTCCTCCCGCCTCCGCCCTCACACTCAACTTGTTCACACACAACTTGTTCACACACAATTTGCTCACACACAATTTACTGACACACAACTTAATCAAACACACAATTTACTCACACACAACTTACTCACACACAACTTGTTCACACACCACCCATACACAACTCATTCACACACAGTTTGTTTACATACAACTCACTCACACACAACTTGTTCACACACAACTTACTCACACACATCTTGTTCACACACAGTTCGTCCACGCACAACTTACTCACACACACCTTGTTCACACACAACTTACTCGCACACAACTTACTCACACACAATTTACTCACACACAACTTACTCAAACACAACTTGTTCACACACCACTTATATACAACTTATTCACACGCAGTTTGTTCACACACAACTCACTCACACACAACTTGTTCACACACAACTTACTCACACACATCTTGTTCACACACAACTTACTCACACACACACACAACTTGTTCACACACAATTTACTCACACACAACTTGTTCACACACAATTTGTCCACACACAACGTGCTCACACACAGCTTGTCCACGCACAACTTACTCACACACGACTTGTTCACACACAACTTGTCCACACACAACTTGTTCACACACAAATTGTTCACACACAACTTGTCACGCCGCGGTCTTTTGCATGGCAGGCGTGGCACTTGGAGACATCCAGAGCCATCTGGCGTTTGGAAGTGCCTGTGGTGGCTGTGGAGGATTGATTGGACTGACCGGAGTCGGTACAGGTGGAGGTTGAGAATCTTCGAACTTTTTGAGAGTGGTTTCCAAGCCCCTCTTTGACGGTAGTGCGCAGCTTCTGGAGCATCTCATTAGCGTTGAATGGTGGTGACGTGGGAGGAGTCACTTCAGGCTGCACCTTGGGTGTTGGTGGCCTGTTGTGGTAAGAGTTGTTGAAGTTGGTGGATGTGAGATACCGCTTGACTCGCAAACTGCTGGTTCAGCAGTGCATTCTGCTGTTGTAGTGCTGAGATCTGAGACTGGGTCTGAGCTTGGGACTGCGCTTGTTGGCGGAGCTGAATATCACCTCCACAAAATTGTCCAACCATGCCTTGATTAGGAAGAGCTGCGCTGGCCTCTGGATTCCACATCGAGCGCAGAATCTGTTCAGGGCTATTCGTTGTAGCCCCCATCCAGGTACGAGTTTGCCACGGAAATGGAAACATGGCTATGCGAAGAGTGTCTGGCTAACTTAAGTTCAAAAGTTGAAACATCAGGATGCATCCAAAAACAAATGCAAATGTCATGATAAGGCTCAGGGCCCTCGGTGATCAATTCAACCCCATGGACAGCTGAAGCGGTCAACCCCCGAATTGGTGCACAATTGAACCGTACCAACGACCATAAGAAGAATCACCATACCTGCAAGCATGGCCCTTGCCTTCACACCATATGACATGAGAGCCTTACCTTAAGCAGTCTCTTGAGCAATGTGAAAAAGAAAGGTTGCCGCGGCTTCCAGCTATGCGTATTGTCACGAAAAAAGAAGGATAGGCCCAGTACAGCGGCAAGCTGTTTCAACACAAATCGATCGACGGGTTAAAAGATGAGAAATGGCCGACTGTTCCACTTTACTTAAACGAATTACCAAATTAAAAATGTAAATTCAGAGATCAGGAGGATCATTTTTTTAACCTAGACAGGTATTCCCCGAAAGGTTCATGCTACCTTGGCGAAACCGGCATGAGGCACACACTTGCTCAGAACTGTCATTGCGAATTTTGTTGTGGAGCGCATCTTACGTGCAAAAACAATCCAGTTACACCTGACAGGAGTGGGTCAGACAAGGACCCGAAAAACAGTGAGAAGCTTCATCGCCCAGAAAAGAATTGTTGGAAAACAATCCAAATGATCGACATGCCGGTTCTAGGCTTGGCCGGTTGCCATTGACGGAAAATCACTCTGAAATTGTTCTGCAGGTACGTCACCAGGCGTCCCTGGTGATATCCTGGGCTCATATGAGGAGCTTCGTTGGATGGAGCCCCATATGTCCTCTCCATCCCCCTGCTGAAATAAACTTGAAAATCCAAAGCGTTTGCAAATGTTAAAGGCACAGGTTTGAAACAAACGAAAAGGTTAGAAGTTTTACGTCTCTTCAGATGGTTCACACACACATAAACACATACAGACATACAAACAACTCTCTCACACGCAAGTCTTTCATATATATATATTATATCTATATCTATATATATTATATCTATATATATATCTCTCTCTCTCTCTCTTTCACCTTCTCATATCTCTTTCCTGCCTTTCCCATTCCGTCTTCAACCCTTTTTATGACTTATTGGAAGAAGTTGACATGTGGAGTTATCCGGTCCTTTATTTAAAAAAAAAAAAACATACTATATATATATATATAGTTAATATATCATATTATATATATATATGTACACACAAACGCGGTATTTGCATACATCAAGAAATATAAATCAGCGGATATGTGTATGTATATAATAATAATAATAATATATATATATACATATACATACACACATACATGGTTCGAACCCCAAACAACCCCTGCGTTTTAGAGACTTCCCGATTGGTCTGAGAGGCTCTTCACTATTGCTTCGCAGCAGCAGAGCGTCCCATACTTAGTTACTGCAGGCTGGGCGGCCGACTGGACCCCACAAAAAGTACTGGACTACTGGGCAAACCCAAAAGGGTGGTATGGGAATGGGATAATCATAGGATAATGGATTAACTTATTATCATTAAAATGTCTTCAAAAAAAAGACCTTACTAAAAAAATGACCTTACTAAAATCTTGGTCAATCAGATTTTTCTCTGGGGTTGATACTATACTACGACACTGAAAGCAACCAAATGTGTGAGAACATTCGTACGTCAAGCTTGGTCCGACCAACCTAAATGGCCCCAAAATGGAATCCTGAGCATTCCTGATGGACTCATTTATTTGTTTGGCATTTTTTCATACATCTGCACCAGGTTGTGGTGATGAACTATTTTGAGCAAATCACCGTCTGCTGCGGCCACAATTAGGCATTTCAATAGATGCAGAGGGCGCAGACGGATGGACAC